TAACTGGCAGATATTCTCCATGGATACCATTGTTCTCACAACGATCGATATGGAATTTAACTGTCAGATAAAATAACTGAAACTTAACCAGAGATTGATAAACCGGCCCTGAGTTATCTAATACAAAACTATAACAGAAACAGTAAAGTCAACTTAAGAAAATAGCCTATTGGTTACAGCGACATCACAAAAAAAATTCAGTAGGTAATTAATAAATAAACAACAAAATATTTCCTCAAAATGTATTATAAATTAATTGCATGTTTAACATGCAATTTACAACATAAAATATACGCTACTAAAGTTAAAGTCCAAAAATAAACAAAAAGTTGGACTTTACTTGTACAGGGTGTTTTCTTATAAATTGGACACCCCTATAAAATCTTTATTAGAAGAAATATCGAAAAAATTTAAAATCCAGCTTGCAAATTTAAAAAGGAATTTTTTCGATAAATATTCCAAAAAAAGCATCGGTAAATTTTATAAATTAACATTGACATGGATTTTTTCAATGAAACATCCTGTATATTTTTGAATATTTAAATATAGTTTTTTATTTAAAAAATATACACTTTGTACATACATATGTATATATTAATAACTGACGAAAATTATGCAAAATTTAACGCGAGAATCATGGTTGCATGGATAAAGACTGCCTAAAATAAGGATGGCGTTTGAAACAATTATTAGCGTTTTGTTACAAATTAACAATAAAAATCCCTCTCAACAGCTCTTAATAACCTGCAATCGTCAATTAACATGATCTCTAATTGGTTTGCAAGTTGGCGAATAAAGATTAACGCCAGGAAATCTCAATTTATTATTTTGAATCACAAAATTAAAGATGATTCGCCACAAATCTCAATAGAAAACCAAAATATATTCCCCACAAACAGTATTAAATATCTTGGAATGATTCCCCAAACTTAATTGCCACACTCGAACCATTAAACAAAAGGTCATTACTAGAGCAAAACATTTTAAATTTCTATCCTTTAAGAAGAAAAGAAAATGATCGGTTCCTTAATATTTCAAACCTGCAGAAGACCTTCCCTAAAAAACCTGGAGAGCCATTATAATGGGTGTCATGGGTTTATATATAAAAATAATATGTAACCTCTCTGAGAAATTCTGCAATACAAGTACAAACCTTGAAATAATGGAACCCTTTATTTTTCCGGAAATAAAATGCATCCGAACAAAAAGGAAATTTTCAGTGAAATCCTTGTAGAAAATTATTTTGGAACAGATAGATTAATATCAATAATTGTATTTTTTTAAATAATTAAGTTTATATACCTAGTTTATAATTATATCAAATATTTTGTAAAATAAAGACTTTGGTCGATAGCCTTTTGGTTTTTCCAATAAATATATTTACTTTAGTAGTATACTAATAATAAAAACATGGTTATTTTACGACGTAATTTCTTTATCTTTGTCAAATATTAGCCAGGTTTTTTGTTTAATTATTAATAAAATGTTTAATACAAACATAAACAAATTATATATTTTTGCGCGAAAACTTACCCCACCTTGACAAAAAATCAGATGTGTTATTTAAAAAAACAAAAACTATATCTGAAGTCAAATAGTTCATTTGCGACGTAATTTTTATAACCTTAAAATATTCGTACATTGTAATGCTAAGAATGTAACTTTAAGAATAAACACGGAAGAATTTTAATACTCGATAAAAAGTTTAAATGTCGCACCCGTTACATTTTGAGAAAATTTTAAAAAATAAAGTAGGTATACAATATTTTTGCATTTAAAATACGTGCTTGTACTATTCAAGTTTTACACAATAAAATATTACTATAGTATAGGATCAACATTGGAATCCAACTTGCTCGCATTTGCCGTTACCCGATTCATAACGTTATAAAAGGTTTTCAATACATTTTGTTTGAGTTAAATATCTAATTTTTTATACTATTTTTGTATATTAACGTATCTTGATATATCTAAATAAACACTTTATTATCATGAAAAAACGTAGTGTCAGTGTCGCACCCGTTACAATGGAAATACCCTAAACTATATCTAAATATATACAGGGTGTTCCATTGAAAAAAACAATGTTACCTATATCTATTTTATCAATTTTACCGATGCTTTTTTGTTTTTTAATTTTTGTAAAAATAACTAGGTAGATACTTTTTTAAACCATAAATTGGATTTTTAAATTTTTTATACGAAAACACCCTGTATGTAAACTGTCATAACATTGTCTTTTATCCATAGATTTTTTCGTGAATACATTATTTTGTTTGTAGAAGTGTAAACTACATAATGTAGATAATTTGAATAATTTGTATACAAATAAAAACAAAAATAAAAAAACCTTTTGTTCGATTAAATATATTTAATCGAACAAAAGGTTTTTTTTATTTTTGTCCAAAATTGGGTTTTTTATACGAGCCCATTGCTACCTAGTTAACTGATTGGGCATTAAGAAAGTAATATTTGTCGGCGATTTGATTATGTTTAATTTGACACAGGGGCGGCCATATGACCGGCAAGAAAACTGTTAAATATTATAATAAGTATTAATACACCAATGCACACCTACTAAAATATTATAATTAAAAATTATTGTGTATGAAAGCAGACTTTTGTAAAGTTTTTATGTTATTTTTATGCAATTTTATATACATATAGCAACATATGCTTTTTTAATGGTGTTTTCTTAAAATCTTTTAGTAGGTAAACTAAAAATTTTATGAGATCTGCAAGTGAGCCGCGATTGCATGATTTAACTTAAGTTCGAAGAAGGGCGTGATAAAAACATACTTATGTGAGTTCTTGTAATTTTTTTAAAAATATGTATTTTCCATTGTTTTTTCTGTTTTCTGTGAAGTAATTTAACAAGGAAAAGTTTGTCTTGAAGGCAAAGGTACAGTGGCCACAAGTATGATTTGCACCGAGGCCCACTTCTGCTTGGATCCGTCACTGATTTGACACCTTTTGCAACCAGATTGGCCTTTTCCAACTCGAGATATGAGCCAAATTGTAAAGCTACCATTAAAAAACAAATGAGAAAATAAAAAAAAAATTAAACCTCGAAAACCTAGCCATAAAAAAATTGTATTGTGATTTTCTAGGTTGGCAGACCAAAATACATTAGAACAAAATGGAGGCACTGATTACATTTCTTTTTTAATAATTTGTAAACCAGTGTAATAGTTCAAAACTTTGAGTTTATTCTTTGTTTATAAAAAATAACAAATTGTATTGAAAAATAATTAGTTCTGCAGGTATTACTGCGACACATTGGCAAAAGGCAGAAAAATCCTTCCTGCAAATAAACTCGCCGTGGGAGCATCAACCCGACACTTTTTTCGACTCCCGTAGGAAGGCAAACAGTCTCAAGTGAGAGTGGTTGGGCAGGAATTTAAATACCCTGGGGTGGTCCAGACGGAAAATTTCTCCTCCGTCTGCTGAAACCATTTTCCACACACAAAAAAATCTAATATTAATTTGAACAAATAACATATTTTCAAATAATTAGGTTTAGGTTAATACAAATAAGGTTTATTCTGATACCAAAATTAATTCATAGCAAGTATAATGTATTGTTAAATATAATCATTAAATTGATTATAAAAATATATATTTTTATGTATATCAAAGATAACTAAATTTAGCTATAATAATAACAAAACATCCCTGTGAACACTTGCTTTATACTTAAAACATCCTTACATGTAATCATTCCAATAATACAAAGTGACACTATCATTATTTTAATAATAAAAAGGTACTCTATCTTCAAATTGAGCATAATAAAAGAACCGCGCAAAAATACGTTCTACAAAGAGGGCGGCATCAATCTTCTTTGGCATAATTAAGTAAACTTCCGATGCGCGAGGACCTGTTTTGTGTAATTATTGTGCCTGTGGTTTGTTCTGTGGTGGTGATTGTGTTATTTTTTAAAGAAATAGTATTTTTGAGATCCCTATTATGGAGGAACCGCTTAGAACATGGGGGTATCCTGACGAAGTAATACATTCATTTCTATGTAAGTACCATAGTACAAAAAATATTTGATATTTTTTCACATCATAAAGTCATTTGTATTGCTTAACCCTTTACAACAAAGCATAAATGACATTTGGTGGCTATAGTATACTTGTACAAATATTTTGTTTACCTATTAGGTATTATAATACTAATGATAATTATCATTGTGTACTAAACATGTATAGTCTTATTTTGATGTATATTGCAGTAGGTAGTTTAGAGTGTATAAAATTTTACTTATTATCAGAGACCCTATATATATGTATTAAGAATTTGTGTTTTTATTTAGAAAATATTGTATTTTTATTTAGAAAATAAATCGTTCCATAGTATTTTTGTTAGTTTTCATTTAAAAATAAATATAGTAATCTAAAAATAGAAGTTTTAAAAAAAGATAAGTATGATAAGTGTTACACTTACAGTAAGTATAATTCAATTTAACCTAAAGCAAGACCTAATTTCAATATTAACATATAAGAATACAAGCCAAGGCTGGGCTTGTATTCTTATATGTTAATATTGAAATTGGGCTGCCCAGCATATTTATTTAAACCTTAAACTACATATGTCTCAATTCAAAAATAGTTTTACTCCGATAAAAGACAAGCTATATTAACATATATAATAATTATTTTCAATTTGAACTTAAACTATATTTAATCTAAATAAAACCAATTCTAAATAGACCCATAAGATAGTTTTAAATTGAAGTTAAGGCTAATATTAAATCGAGTTTAAATTTAAATTTACACCTATAACATAAGTACTCTCAAGTTAAATACAAAGTAGGTATACATTTGGTATAAAAGTTAAAGAAAAGGTAATTTTAACTTAAGCATACACTAATCTTGCTCCTATTCATGACTATGATAGTTTCATAATGATGCTAATAGTTTCAACTCGAGATTAGATTTTTTTGTGTGCACGCATTTCCCGAACAAAATCAACGCGCAGTTGCTGCTATATCGATCCGATGTTTCAGCTGTTCAACGTGTGGTATTACAAACAGTTTTTATACAAATTTTCTACAAAAATGTTTTCGAATTTGTTTGGGTGTGTTTTCTTTTTGATTTTTCTTGATTATTCGGGCAGCAACAGCGTTAAAAGAGACAAACGGGGGGACATCGAGCTGCAAACATGTTTAGATAATTTCAATGTACACAAGGATAAAATTATCAGGACGCAGGACTCGCAAAATATGGGTGCCAAGTACTTGAGCGAAATGGATCTTGGTAGCAGGGAAGAATGTTTGAGGTTATGCTGCGAAACTGTCAATTGTGACGTTTTTGTTTTTGAAGAAAAGGTCAGTAATATATCAACTTCTGAACTTCATCAAGTAGCTTAACTGGTAGCTTGACATTTAAAAGTTGGGTTAAGAAATTGTTCATAAAACATAAACAAATATTATTAATAACTTGGTAAATATTTTTATTTTAAATTTAGATTTAATAGCTATCTTGTATATTTTTGCACTGTTCATCGCTAGATTTCGAAACACGCGATTTTAATTAAAATTTATTAAATAAACTTATCACAATAAAAATAAACCACCTAAACTTTTATTACATGATTTGTAAATAAACAAATCTAGTCATATTTTAGCAAACAAGTATTTGTATATCAAGAAAGCTATTTTTAGAATGTTGATGCAATAATATAAATAATTTGAATATTATTATACGAGAAATAATGCAGCTATTATTTACGAGGATGAGTCGCCACACGAGAGACTTAAATCATCCGAGTTAAATTACCTACCCCAATAAGTAAATAATTAAATGATTTTAAAATTAAATAAATATAATCAGACATCTGTCAAATGGTTAACCTCACTTTTTACGAATTTTAAAGGTTATTATAGTGGGTGTGTTCCGTAATTTACTGCCATTACTGTCAGTAATTTTACTGTCAGTAGCGGAAAAGGACCGTTCCGTAATTTATTCAGTACTGACGCACAGTAAAATTGGAACGCGCCTCAGTAGCAGCAGAAAGTGTTACGCAAGGTTGATTTGTGATTTACTGACAATTGACAAACTTTACTTTCGGCACAGCAGAAAACATGAATAAAAAATAAATATAAAAGTTATTATAAGAAATATAATGTTTGGTTTATGGCAGAGAAATATGGAAAATTTAACGTTATCGTCGTCCGCGTCGAAAAATGTATATAGGAATAGGAAATATAAAATTTCACTGACACCACAACAATAAGTCAAATACCAAAAATTACTCTTAAATTCGTCCGCTGAATACAAATATATAACATTTTCTAGGTACTACCTATAGTTAGTAGGTAGTTTCATATTCTGGGTCTTCGTATGCGTACTCCCCGCCGACCTGTCTTCGTCACTGCTGCTTGTACTTTCAAGTAATATTTTATCAATAAATATTGAAATAATTAGTCCTATAGGTATTCATCAAATACCATTCATTATATGATGTAATTTATATCCTTCACTTTATTTGAGAGCTATTTTTTTTTAAAGTTTGGTTATGTGTTTTACTGGAGCCACAGCACCTCTCTGTCCCCAGTTGTTTCAGTAAAATTAATCTGCCGTACATTTATAAAAGGGTAGTATTTACCACTGAGCTCAGTAACTGAAAGTGGATTTCGGAATGCGTTTTCAGTACCGACAGTACTGACAGTAAATTACGGAACATAGCCATAGGCTGTGTTCCGTAATTTACTGCCATTACTGTCAGTAATTTTACTGTCAGTAGCGGAAAAGGACCGTTCCGTAATTTATTCAGTACTGACGCACAGTGAAATTGGAACGCGCCTCAGTAGCAGCAGAAAGTGACAATGGCTACGCAAGGTTATGATTTGTGATTTACTGACAAACTTTACTTTCGGCACAGCAGAGAACATAAATAAAAAATAAATATAACAGTTATAAGAAATATAATGTTCGGTTTATGGCAGAGAAATATGGAAAATTTAATGTTATCGTCGTCCGCGTCGAAAAATGTATATAGGAATAGGAAATATAAAATTTCACTGACATTACAACAATAAGCCAAATACCAAAAATTACTCTTAAATTCGTCCGCTAAATACAAATATATAACATTTTCTAGGTACTACCTATAGGTAGTACTATAGTAGGTAGTTTCATATTCTGGGTCTTCGTATGCGTACTCCCCGCCGACCTGCAATCGTCACTGCTGCTTGTACTTTCAAGTAATATTTTATCAATAAATATTGAAATAATTAGTCCTACAGGTATTCACCAAATACCATTATATGATGCCTATGTTCCGTAATTTACTGTCAGTACTGTCGGTACTGAAAACGCATTCCGAAATCCACTTTCAGTTACTGAGCTCAGTGGTAAATACTACCCTTTTATAAATGTACGGCAGATTAATTTTACTGAAACAACTGGGGACAGAGAGGTGCTGTGGCTCCAGTAAAACACATAACCAAACTTTTAAACAAAAAATAGCTGTCAAATAAAGTGAAGGATATAAATTATATCATATAATGGTATTTGGTGAATACCTGTAGGACTAATTATTTCAATATTTATTGATAAAATATTACTTGAAAGTACAAGCAGCAGTGACGATTGCAGGTCGGCGGGGAGTACGCATACGAAGACCCAGAATATGAAACTACCTACTATAGTACTACCTATAGGTAGTACCTAGAAAATGTTATATATTTGTATTTAGCGGACGAATTTAAGAGTAATTTTTGGTATTTGGCTTATTGTTGTAATGTCAGTGAAATTTTATATTTCCTATTCCTATATACATTTTTCGACGCGGACGACGATAACATTAAATTTTCCATATTTCTCTGCCATAAACCGAACATTATATTTCTTATAACTGTTATATTTATTTTTTATTTATGTTCTCTGCTGTGCCGAAAGTAAAGTTTGTCAGTAAATCACAAATCATAACCTTGCGTAGCCATTGTCACTTTCTGCTGCTACTGAGGCGCGTTCCAATTTCACTGTGCGTCAGTACTGAATAAATTACGGAACGGTCCTTTTCCGCTACTGACAGTAAAATTACTGACAGTAATGGCAGTAAATTACGGAACACAGCCTATGGCTATGTTCCGTAATTTACTGTCAGTACTGTCGGTACTGAAAACGCATTCCGAAATCCACTTTCAGTTACTGAGCTCAGTGGTAAATACTACCCTTTTATAAATGTACGGCAGATTAATTTTACTGAAACAACTGGGGACAGAGAGGTGCTGTGGCTCCAGTAAAACACATAACCAAACTTTAAAAAAAAATAGCTCTCAAATAAAGTGAAGGATATAAATTACATCATATAATGAATGGTATTTGATGAATACCTATAGGACTAATTATTTCAATATTTATTGATAAAATATTACTTGAAAGTACAAGCAGCAGTGACGAAGACAGGTCGGCGGGGAGTACGCATACGAAGACCCAGAATATGAAACTACCTACTAACTATAGGTAGTACCTAGAAAATGTTATATATTTGTATTCAGCGGACGAATTTAAGAGTAATTTTTGGTATTTGACTTATTGTTGTGGTGTCAGTGAAATTTTATATTTCCTATTCCTATATACATTTTTCGACGCGGACGACGATAACGTTAAATTTTCCATATTTCTCTGCCATAAACCAAACATTATATTTCTTATAATAACTTTTATATTTATTTTTTATTCATGTTTTCTGCTCCCTGATAGCAAAATTTGATTCTAAGAATCTTCTAAGAAGATACGACTCGGAATAATGGAATATTCTTAGAACCTTCCCTTATTGCTAAGAATGTTCTTAGGGACTTTTAAAACATTCAATAGATACCCTTTTAATGATGCAAGTAGATTCTTAGAAGCTTCTTAAAACCTTCCTAAAAAGCAATCTAAGAACATTTTAAGAATACGTTTTTGGAATGTTCTTAGAGGGTTTCTTATGGAGCTTCTAGGAAGCTTTTGGGAATATGTCAGATACCCACGTTCTAATATATGTTGTATTCTACATTCGTAAAATTCTTCAGGAGACGACAAATACGCCTCACTGTCATAATATGACAGTGAAATGTATTTGTCGTCCCCTTAAAAAATTTATTATATATTTATTTAAAAATATTAAATAAACAATTTGACCTCTAAACCATAAGTTGTATGACATTATTACATAAAAAGTAAAATTGGAAAATTTTGTGGGATAAGTCAGATTAGATTGAAGTTGAAGGTAGGTAGTTAGGATTATTATACATAAAAATGTTAATTCAGAAATAAAAAATCGGTATACAAATTAATAAATATTTTGTTTTAACATTAAATAAAATATAAAAAAACAAAATATTTACTTAAAAAATAATTCTTCATAAAAGAAAAAAACAAAAAGTTCTTCATAAAAAAAACATTTTTCATTGTATTTAAGTTGGATAGAAGATTTTATGTAAAAGCCGGATAATTTAGATACCTATAGCAAAAGTATTTTTGTTATCTAATATTGTTTTAATTTGATAAATAACTATAAAAAATATTTTGGGTTGTTTTTTACTTAGTATTTAATACTAATTACTTTCTCAACATTCTAAGCATATGTTTAGAGTGGATTAATTTTTACCACTAAACTTTGCACCTTCTAAGAACCTGCCTAGAGGCCAGTGAGAATATTCTTAGGATTATGCTATATTTCTTTTAAGCATGTTCTTTAGAAGAAATATAGGATGATCCTAAGAATATTCTCACTGGAAGGTTTAAAAAACATTCTTAGAACATGCCTAGAAGAAATATAGCATGATCCTAAGAATATTCTCACTGGAAGGTTTAAAAAACATTCTTAGAACATGACTAGAAGTAATATAGCATGATCCTAAGAATATTCTCACTGGAAGGTTTAAAAAACATTCTTAGAATAAACTGTGCTATCAGGGCTGTGCCGAAAGTAAAGTTTGTCAATTGTCAGTAAATCACAAATCATAACCTTGAAATAATTATACCAATACCATTATATGATATAATTTATATCCTTCACTTTATTTGACAGCTATTTTTTGTTTAAAAGTTTGGTTATGTGTTTTACTGGAGCCACAGCACCTCTCTGTCCCCAGTTGTTTCAGTAAAATTAATCTGCCGTACATTTATAAAAGGGTAGTATTTACCACTGAGCTCAGTAACTGAAAGTGGATTTCGGAATGCGTTTTCAGTACCGACAGTACTGACAGTAAATTACGGAACATAGCCAGTATAATAGTAATATGTCAGTTTTTAAGAGTAAATATTTAAGATTTCATATTTTCGATTTTTTTTAACAAAATCTAAGCACGGCACTGGATTCACCACCCCTCAAAACTACCCTATAAATTACTAAATTTTATTAAAAAAATTTAAGAACAAAAATGCACATAAATAACTATTCCATGAAAAAAACATTGAAATAAAATTAAACTAATAGTAACGTGGTACTATTACTATAAGTTTAATTTTATTTCAATGTTTTTTTCCAGATAACTTGACAAAATAAATTTTTGTAGTAGCAAATGGGTCACACTGTAGGTTTATGAGTGTTATAATATCATAATCGTTATACGTTTAAAAAAAATATTAATTAATCTTTTTACCAGTAAAAGTAAATTAAAATTAACCTTTAAGGTATTATCTCCATTTGAAAAGTTTTTATAGAATGTCTTCAAAATTTAATATATGATTTTGTGAGGCGCATTAGACAAATAATTTTAAAATTTGTATAGCACAGATTCCAAGAAAATTTTTGAATTTTTCACACGCCAATTTTGTATCTCACGAGCTTGCTTTTGATATTTCCATAAAAAAAACGAAATAATTATTTTTTAAGCTATTAAAATAATATATGTTTTGTTTCTCAAGTTTGGAAACGTAATTTTTAAAATAATGTATGGAAATTCTGTGGGAAATAACACTTCTGCACAAATGTTATTTTCCATAGATTCTATCAAAAATTGGTTTTAAACTCTAGCAACCACAGTGGATCACGTTGATGGTTTAAATATTGATTATTCCATTTTTTAGCACTTTTTAAAGTTATTTCAAATTTTGTGCAGCCAACTTAAGAAAGATAAAAATATAACAGTTTGAAACCTTAATTTTACCATTATAACAACAATTTATACCGTTACATATTTACTTTTTATGTTTTTAATAGTTTTTGATGATTCTTAATAATTAAAATACGTTTTATTTTTACCACATTGGCACCGCTGAATTTGCTGTCACGGCCTACTGTCATTTATTTATCAAACTCTTTAAATGAAGATACTAGATACCTTAAAAACAATTAAAAAAAACAATTTTAGATAGTTTGATACAAGAAAACATTACAAGAAATCATTTTTAAATTTTCAAGATAAAATGCAAGGTTCCAAACGTATTAAAACAATTACCTAACTGTCTGCATCCTCCATTATCCAATTACAATAAAAATTGTTTAACCCAAAGTGAATCACTATCAACATTACCATTTAACATATCAATCCCCGATGACTAATTCCTTTAGAATTCACCTCGCTCCTGCTTTCATTCAAGTTTATTCATTGAAAACGTTGTTATGCTGTTTGTTTCAGAACTCCGGAAGTTGTTATCTCTTCCATTGCGGTCCGCCAGAAGATTTCAAATGCAAATTCACCCACCACGTGAACTATTCCAGCGCTATTTTGGCAGTTAGCAGACACACGCCCGATTTGGAGAACCAGATTAAATTGACCAAACACGAGCAGGATCTGTCTAAATTGAGGTACAAATAAATATCTTCAATCAATAAACCTCCTATTTTTTTTTACTTAATTAGTCTGTAAAAACGAGTTTGGACGAATCAAAAAATTTGACTGCTGTCAGATTTAATCCAACCTTACTTTTTTCTTTTAATAATTATTATATTAATTATAATAATTGTACGTTTTATATTTAGTTTAACAAATAAAATTATGCCTTGAAGATAAGATTTTGTAAGTATGCCATGCAGCTTAGAAGTGTCTTTTTGTGGTTCGCTCAATTGTAGGCTTCCGCTTCGCCTCGGCATTCAAAATTTGAGCTCAGCACAAATAGACTTGCTTTTTAGCCTGATGACATAAATAACTAGTGGTTTTAAATATTTTTTATTTTGTATTTATTTCAGCAGCGCGCTGGTGTGATTAATTTAAATAATTAAAATTAATATTTAATAATACCAAAACAATAAAGAAAATAAAATCTTAACTTTTCTAGAGAGTACATTGTGTAATCAAGTATTATCTCTTGTAAGTTTTAATTTCTTATTTTAAATTTTTCTTCTATTTTTGTTTTTTATTAGTATCTGGGAATTCAAGGAATTCAAATTTGGTACAATTTAAAAATAAATGTTTGTTTGACAAAAATACCTATGTTTTATATTACATGGGAATTTTTCGGACTTTTATTACTTTTGTTTGTTATTTATATTATTCGTGACAAACAGCTATTTGGGTATTCTAACGAATAATCCACACATTTTTCTTGAAATCGAAAACAAAATTTTGTGATGAATAAAAAAAACATTTTTAATTTAATTTTGTCGTTCCAGAAAATCTGATCCCGATGAGATTGTAAAACAGCCTTCCCGGGAAATAATTCGTTCAACTTCTTCCACGACAACAACAATCGCATATGGCGGAAAGGAAGTTCTTCCTCCAGTTATCAACCAAAAAGCAAAAACATCTGAAGGTAACAAATGTTATATACAATGTGACTAAACATACTCTCTAAAAATGAATTAGTCAAAAATGACTAATTTAATATTTATAAGTGTCTGCTTTTTCACTATTTAACAGCCAATTCTTGTGTAAAATTGTCCCCTGAATCCGAAAATGCGTTCAAAAGTTAAAAAAGTAAAACAGTTTTTGAGATATAGTCAATTTTCCATTTAATATGGAATTGACTATATCTCAAAAACTGCTCCACTTTCATAATTTTTGACGGTATTTTCGGATTCAGGGGACAGTTTTACATAAGAATTAAAATTAAAAAAAAAAAATTTGGGATACCATGGTATTCCAAGGTTAACCATGGTTCAAGTGAAGAAGCATCCACTTATAACTATTAAATTAGTCATTTTTGACTAATTCATTTTTAGAGAGTAAGTCAACCGCATTTTCACAACTATTAAATACTTAATAAGAAATATAACTGATTGTTTTTTAACTTCTTTAATAAGACTTAGTGTTTGTGCAATTTAGCATGATGATAGTTTTTTAACACTTCGGGTCGATAATTAAATAAAAGTGGCAGAAACAAAGGCATTTTCATGCATTCAAGCGGCATCTTCTCTTCTCCGATGGCGACCAAATGGCATGACCGTGACTGTTTTGGACTAATAATTTTATAATTCCTCTTGCTTTACGCTTCCTGTACCGAACTTCCGTAAAATTTAAACGCTTTGCATTTTTTAGATATGCACCGCCAAACCCGCACTAAAAACCGTACACTTTTAACCAAATCCGCCGAATTGAGGCAAGGCAAAAAATATTTCGCTTTATCGGTCAAGATTATAATAATGAATTCGAGACGCACCGCAGCTGTTTACAACCATTGTAAACTTTACATGATTTATGCATTTTTTGTCATACTAAGCGTGACAGCAACCATTAATGGTTGATTTAATATTAGAAATTGAAAATGTTAACTTTATAGTATATTATGTATCAAGTTTTTGTCAAACTCCATTTTAGTTACGAATTTAATTTAGCTTAAATTAGTGCCTAGAAAAGTTTATAAACGATTTGCATACTATACTTTTTCTACGACAAAGACTTAATATTATCTAAAAAATAATTTAAATTAAATATTTGTATAAAGCGACATCTATAGGAAAGTAAAGTAAACATCCCAATAAACATATTTGGCGTAATTTTAACCATTAGCATTGCCCGTTATAATTTTAATTAAACTTAAATTATTGATACTTAAAAATATTAAAATAACTTGAATTTTTTTATTACTATAATTGCAAATATTATCACAAAGTATTAAAAATTCTGTCACGGGAAATTTTAAAGGTACAAAAGTGATAGTTATTGGAATTCCTAACTTGGGAATCTACCGTTGAAGTCACAAATTGTATTCCTTGAAAATAGACTAACAATCGATATAGAAGATAGTACAGTCATCTTAGTCAAAAAAAGGGATCAACCTCGGAATCTAACGGAATAAGCTGAATTTTTGTGAAAACGTTTATTTTAGCATTACAAATGTTGTCTCAAAAGTCACATATGCCAACGTGTGAGCGGCCTTAGATATTCAAGGTCAAAGGTCGCAAAAATCAGTTTTTTAAGAATATCTCGTTTTCTCTGCCTCCTATCGTATTTGCATTTATTATAAAAGTTGTAGAGAATAAAATTCTCTACATATTTTGTTTACAAAATTTTTTTGTACGTCGAACCGTTTTTGAGATACAGGGCGCAGAGTGTGGAGCGCTCAGCCATACGTACCTTAAGCGCAAGGTAAATCGTGTCTCTCTATTATGCCGTGTTTTTAAATTAATTATATAATAAATATTACTAAAATAAAAATTTAATACCTTATACTTATATTTATATTTCTTTTAAATCAAATAAATTTTATCTTCATATATATCTTATATTTTAATTTAATTTTAATAAAGGATAATTGGATCACAGTAGGAAAAAATGTTTTTATTTATATCAATATTATTCCTCCCTATTGTAAATGACCAATAGAAACCAATAAAAAATAAGTAATTGGTTTGAATTGGTTTGAAGTGTGTTTTGGCGCTATGAATCACCAATTCATTCCAGTTTGGGTAATTTCCTATGAAGTCAGCGGCTTGAATTGGAAAATACCAATAGAATCCAATAAAAAATAAGTAATTGGTTTGAATTGGTTTGAAGTGTGTTTTGGCGCTATGAATCACCAATTCATTCCAGTTGAATTCCTTTTGGTAATTTCCAATGAAGTCAGCGCGCTGAATTGGAAAATACCAATCCATGCCTACGCTTGTCTCTATTGGGTAAATCCAATAGAAATGCACATGGAATGAATTGGTAATTCATAGCACCAAACCCATTCCAACCAATTTAAACCAATTAATTTTTTAAAATTTGGATTAGAAAATACCTACCAGTTTATTTTCCATTCAAAAATAATTTTAGATCCCAGAAGGATAACCGGGTAAAAACCAGAATTCATTTTTTATAGAAGAGACAAAAAATTTATTGTTACTGAGTAATTTTATTTCTTTATTATTTTCTTGTGATATATGTATGTAAAATCCCTAAATCTTACACATATAAACATTTTTTTAATATATAAGTACACTACTAACACTAAGCACTTAACACAGAAATCGACTAATAAAATAAACCGCTAATAAATGGCGTACAAAGACTTGTTGTTTTTTTATGATGGCGTCTCAACCTCGTTGATTTTGCGCAGCTACACGAGAGCCCTCTTGAGATATTTGTATTGTATTGGGAATAACCAATTAGCAGATTTTTCGAATCTTACACTGGGAATGCCCAATTGAATTCAATTGGAAATTACCTATAGGTAGCTTTATCCAATCGAAACCAATAAAAACCATTAAAATCCTAACTGCAGTTATACCATAGTATTTTCCATCATGGAAAATACCAGTAAAAACCAATTTCTGTTTTATATCGCGCCCAATTAAATCCAGTAAGTCCAATTCAGACCCATTGATACCAACCAATACTTCAATTGGTTTCTACAGGAATTAATCGGTCATTTACAACAGGGCTTTTTATTTATAGCAAGCCCACTATAGTATTTCCAGGTCTGTTATTTTAAAAGCAATATCTGGATCCAAGAGATGACCAGATACATATTCAAGGCAAATTTATTTAATGTCTTTTCTTCTTAAAATGCATTTATCATTAATTAGAATAACATTAGAATATATTTAGAATGATTCACTTCATTATTTAATTATTTGTATGTCAAAAGTAAGTAATATTTAATGACTAGTTGTAAAGTAAAGTAATATTTAATAAATAATTAATTAAAAAAACAGTATAATAGATTGGGATTCATGATTTACCTTGCGCTAAAGGTACGTATGGCCGAGAGCTCCACACTCTGCGCCCTCTATCTCAAAAACGATTAGACGTATAAAAAAATGTTTTTAACAAAATTTGTAGAGAATTTTATTCTCTATAACTTGTATAATTAATGCAAATACGATAGGAGGCAGAGAAAAGGAGATATTCTAAAAAAATTGATTTTTGCGACCTTTGACCTTGAATATCTAAGGCCGCTCACACGTTGGCATATGTGACTTTTGAGACAACATTTGCAATGCTAAAATAAAGGTTTATACAAAAATTCAGCTTATTCCGTTGGATTCCGAGGTGAAATGCCTAGATGACTGGACTAAGAAGTTTTTCACAGTAAAAGCAGTGATGTAATGTATCTAGAAACTGGATCTAGATACATTTTATGTACCTATCTAGATACATATCGAGATCCTTAAAAAAATCAGCATCTAGTATCTTAGTATCTAGATCCTTAGATATAAGATACATTTTATTTTACCCAACTTGATGCAACCCCACACGGAACATGTACAGGCAATGGATATCCAATGGATATACTCTATAGATATCCAGGATATACTGGATATCCATTGGATAACCATTGGATATATAAATGTTGCTTTATAAGGCCCAAACAATTTTTTACTTTGTCATTTAATTTTTAAAAGATTGTATCTGGAAGTAACGTAAATACTTTTTGAATACATCTGTATCTGTACTAGGGTGTTTGTTTGCATTTGCACGTATGGACAGTGCAGCCCCGTGAATGCGTGATCAGATTAATTAAAACCACAGAGGGATTCTAATCATATGCGAAATTTATTGTATAAACATTCATCTCGTTTTTGTATAACAATAATGGTACAGAACAGAGTAATAAAAAACTGGCTTGGGACGTACGACGTGCCCTGCTTGAGTACAATGCAGTTACTGGGTGGAATAAATCTGGCTTCTAGAAACCGGGAAACAAAATCAGGTGACGCGGCTTGCGGTAACCTGATTGGTCAGCTGAGAAGATCGCTTTTTGAATTACAGTCGCACAGTGTACAATAAGCCAGACAATTATTTACATATAAAAAGAAAACTAAATCTAAACATGTCGGCCCCGTTGAAAGGGGTAACTTTCAAAACAAGTATTCTTAAATTTAAATTAACTTAAAGGTATGTAATGTTTGTCACATGACGCGCACTATTTCTAATCACACGGCAGCACGCACAGTTTTATAACAGGCCTTTTCACAACACCAGCACTGGTTTTCAATGTTGCTACTCTGGGAACACCATCACGGCCGGGTTGGACTTGGATCACCCTACCCAATGACCACTTCAAGGGCGGCAAATTGTCCTCTTTTATGAGAACTAGAACTCCAGGCTTCAGGAGATTGAAGCATTGCTTTCTCCATTTCGTTCGAGTTTGGAGCTCCGATATGTACTCGCGTGACCAGCGTCTCCACGTATGTTGAACCATGGACTGGATATGTTGGAATCTAGACAACCGATTCAGGGGCTTGTCTTCATGATTTTCGTCTGGCACGGCAGTCAGTCGGTCAAAAATGAGAAAGTGTGCAGGAGTCAGAGGAGTTAAATCTTCAGGGTTGTCAGATAGGGGGGATATAGGTCGGGAGTTTAGGCATGCCTCGATCTGCGTCAAGA